GTTATGATTTACATGATATACCATTTCCCATTCTTTTGCTTTCAACCTATTTGTGTTTTTGAAGCTAAACTGTCTCTTATAGACAGTATATAGTTAGATCACATTTTTATTCATTCTGCCATCTTTGTCTTATATTTGAAATGGTTAGATCATTTAAATTTATTGTAATTACTTATAAGGTAGAATTTACATCTGCTATTTGTTTTATGTTTGCTGTCTTTTTCCCCTCTATTTCTCCATTACTTTCTATTTTTGATGTGAATTGGTATTTTTAGTGTATTATTTTAATTCTCTTGTAATTTCTTTTGCTATATATTTTTCATATTATTTTCTTAGCAGTTTCCCTGGAGATTAGAATGACCATCTTAATTTATAAGCATCTAGTTTAGATTAATACCAACCTAATTTCAGTATTATATGACAGCTTCATTTCCACAGAGCTTCATTCCCTGCCCCCTTTTTTGTTTTGTTATTTTCATATAAATTACATCATTATATATTGTGTGCCACCAACATACATTTATAATAATTTCAGTTGTCTTTTAAATCAGTTAGGAGGAAAAAAAAGAGTTACAAATAAAATATACATTTACACTGTCTTTTTTATCTATGTAGTCACCTGTAGAGGTGCTTTTTATTTTTTCATGTAGATTTGAGTTACTGTCTAGTGTCTCTTTATTTCATTCTGAAGGGACTTTTTAAATATTTCTTATAGGGCAGACTTGGCTATCAACAAATTATCTGAGTTTTTGTTTATCTGGGAATGTTATAATTTTTTCTTGAGTTTTTAAAAATAGTTTTTCTTGTTATAGAATTCTTAGTTGACAATCTTTTCCCTTGAATATTATTCCATTGCCATTTGGGCTTTGTGGTTTCTACTGAGAAATTAGCTGTTAATCTTATTGGAGATCTCTTCCATGCAATGAATCATTTCTCTCTTGCCACTTTCAATGTTCTCTATTTGTCTTGGGTTTTTTGGACAGTTTGACTATGATGTGTCTAGTTGGGAGTTTCTTTGAATGTGTCCTACTTAGAATTACTTGAGTTTCTTGAATATGTACATTAATGTTTTTCACGAATTTGGAACACTTTAGCTGTTACTTCCTTTATATTTTCTTCAAATATCTGTTCTATACCTAGTCTCTCTTCTTCTTATCCTTTTGGGACTCCTATTATGCATGTGTTTATATGCTTAATGATGTTCCACAGGTCTTTAAGGCTCTATTGATTTTTCTTTGTTATTTCTTCTTTCTGTTCCTTGTACTGGATAATTTCAATCAAACTGTCTGCAAATTCACTGGTTCTTTCTTCTGCCTGTGCATATCTGCTATCAAGCTCTTATAGTAAATTTTTTCATTTCTCTCATTGTACCTTTCAACTACAGAATTTGTCTATTTAAAATAATTTTTATCTTTCTACTGATATTTGCTGAGACATCATCTTCATACTTTTTTTTAGTTATTTGAGAATAGTTAAAATAGATTATTTAAAATTTTTGCCAGTCAAATTTATGGACATTTTTAGAAATATTTACTTTTGATAACTTTTTTTAGCTGTGTGTATGGACCATACTTTTTTGTTTCTTTGCATGTCTCATAACTTTTTTTGAAAATTGGGCATTTTAAATAATATAATTGGCAACTGTTAAAGTCATATTTTTCCTTCTTTTAAGACTTTGTTGTTTTACTGTTTGTTGTTGTTATTATTGGTCATTTGTTTACTGACATTCTTAACTGATTGTATACAATCTGCATTTTTTGTTGTATGTGGCCACTAATGTTTCTGCTCAGTTAGCTTAGTTATCAGCTAATAATTGGACAAAGACTTCCTTAAATGCCTGGAACCAATATGTCTTGTAGACTTTGACAATGGGCTCCGTGTGTATGTTGGGGCATACCTTTAACACTCAGCCAGGCAGTTGACAAGCCTACCTTACTCTTTACTTCCTGTTTTGAGCCTCTAGGTTATCCAGAGGTGAAAATTCAGGGCCCTTTTAGGACTTTCCTAAGCATGCCCGTGGTTGTGGGCATGCACACAGCTGAACATATGCACATAGCCTTCTAGATTCTCAGGGATATGTGAAGCTTTTCAAAGTCCCTGCAGACATTCCCTAACTTCTTCTTTTAAAACTTTTTAGTTACCCTATTGTTCACACCAACTGTTATCCAGGCAGACTCTGGATGTTATATAATTGGCTTTGATTGTTTTCAACAAATGCTCTCCAAGCAGGTACTTTTCACGCTGAATAAGCTCTGAGTGTAGTCAAATAAAGACAGTGTTACACGTGGGATATTTGAGAGAACCACCTGAAAAATCAAACAATGATAATTCTCTGAAGATGAGACTTAGAAAGAGAGCTTTACCCTACTTTGACACATCTGGTGGCTGCTCAGCTGTTGGTTTTCACTGGGATTGTGGGATATTGGTTGTCAAGGCTACTGTGGAGAATTTGGAAATGGGGGAGATAGGAAAAATTAAAACATCATAAATCTTGCTATTATTACTGAGATTCAGGTTCTGCCAATTTTTGTAAGCCTTGGATTAGTTTCCAGAATTCTGAAAAATTGATTCAGAAATTTTAGCCAGTTTTCTTGGTGCTCTTATTGAGAAGAAAAATTTTGGAGGTCCTTAATCCTCCAATTTTGCCGATGTCATTCTCTTTTGTTTGATCATTTCCTGATCTACAGTTTATTCCAGTGTTATCAGTAATTGAGTACATTGTAGTGCTGTCCATATAAAGACATGAGGCTAACATATAGTTAAGATCATTTTATTGCTTAATACTTCTTTAAGTATTGCCATAAGTAAACCTTTGTTTAGAATGCAAACTAAGCTATGTTGTATTGCCTTTATTGTTCCACCAGCCCACCCCACCATCCAGGCAGTCATCCAGCTGTCAAAATCTACTGAGCATCTACCATGTTCAGATCTGTAATTCCAGACACTGGTGGTTCAAAAGTATTTGAAAAGTGAGGAATTTTGATTTATCTTGAATTAGGAATCAAATATTTGAATTTTTATCTCCAGTACCCTAGAAAAATTTCATGTCACCTTGAGAGTAAGAAATTTGACAGCTAAACCTTGAAAAGAGTATGCAAAGCAGAGGTAGAAAATGTTTCTAATTAGTATGTCTTATGAGGAAGATTAGAAATTGGTCAAATATAGGCCCTTGCATTTATGAGTTTGAAGTAAAATCCATCTATTAATGAATAAAACATTTTTAAATAAATATTATATATATATATATATATATATATTTAATTTACTGATGGGATACCCAGGATATGGGATTCTAGATTGAACCCTTTACCAAAGTCTGGGCAATTCATGTTCATTAAATTAGTTTTTTCTTTCCTTCCTTTTCTATAGAAAAAGAAAAATAAATGATGGATTATAAAGCAATCCCTCCCATACTCCAAATTGATAGTAATAATGTTAATAATAGTCAATTTTATACCAAGTAAGAAAGCTTAAGATAATTGAAATGGGAATGGGTGTTTAAAATGTAGAAACCTTTTCATATGTTCTATTTTCATACACTTTAGGCAAATTATTTTACTCTAGTATATATGTTAGTTTGTGCTCTTTGTAAGTTCCTCATTGTTTATTTTAAATGTGCTTTTTCTTAAGATAATTATTGTTCATTTGAACCTATTTAATTAAAATTTTTTGTATTTATGTGAGATAAGTGACTGCTTTCTTCTGTCTCTGTCTCTTGCTTGCCCTCAATAACCTTTTAAAATATATTATTATTAATATTAAAGAATATCCAACTTTACCAGACAAGCAAGGGATTTTTGTTACATAGACAATACATAGTTTCTCTGTTTATCTGGTACATTCAGGCATTTTTTCCCCAATATTAAACAGTATATTGAAGTATATTGAGAGAGAGAGAGAAAGACAACAACTTGGCATAAATGACATAAACAAGCCAAATCGTTGGCCACACACCCTAATCTATAAGTGTATTATTTGAGGTAGAAAATCAAATGTTCTCTTTGCTTGTGAGTGTGGAACTGAATTCATATAACAGCAAGAAGTCCAAAATGGCTGAAGCATCACTGCAGATGGGAGAGTAGAGAGATGAGACTTTTTAGGCATCTAAACAAGAAGTTCAGACTTTTACTCTCTAGGAGATGCAGAACCATTGATGGATTCTGAGCAGTAATGAAACATGGTCATTTGCAGGAAAACTTCACTCTTGGACCTCTGTAGAGATGGATTTAATCAGCCAAGACCTATCTTTAGAGGTAGACTCCCTTAATCTTATGTTGGATTTTTTTTTTTTTTTTTTTGACGCTGGTCACAGGGTCACTTTGCAAAACGTTTCCATCCAGACTCTGAAATTAAAGTTATTCCAATGAGAATCTATTCTAGACAATAGTCTAGGTCATGTTACATAAACCAGGTTGGACTTTGAAAAATGAAATGTCCTATTTTTATACATTGCTAATAACAACAACAAGCTTATGAATCCTCTCTGAAAATTCTAGGCCATGCCACAGAATCTTTATTGTTTTAGTCTCTGGTACATTTATAATAACATTTTCTGTTTTTAGAATAGTTCAAAGGAAGGAGCACCATTTCATTTATTTTATCTTTTGCATCTGTAGTGTAATAAAGAACTGTATTTCATATAACTTTTTCATTTCATCTTTATGCAACTCCCATGGCTAAGAATTATTATCTTCATTTTAAAATTAAAGAGGCTGATATCCAGGTTAAGCAACTTGGCTTTCATTGTGGAATAGTAGAGTTGGAATTTGAACCCAAGTCTCTCCAACACCAAAGTCCTGTCTTTCCAATATATCCCCCTCCCCCCGATAGAATTTGTCTAGTTCCAATATCATTTTTAGTCTATACTAAACTTTACTGAACATTTTCATGTCACCTGAAAGCATTAAATGTATTAAAAATCTGCATATCTCTGCATCAGGGTAACTCAGATTACTTACTTGTTTAGGTCACGTAGCCCCTTGTTTCCTTCATAATAACAGGATAAAGAAGAGCCAGAGGAGTTCTGCTTTCCAATGACTTACATCACTCTGCAGACAATTGGCAGCCAGGGGAGGGGCAGCTGCCACGCTCTTCAGATAGCTCTCTATTTAAAGTTCAAAGAGACTGGGTAACAATAAGGAAGAGGTGAGCGTGGCTGTGACCAAGCCACCCAAGAATAGGAATAATGGCTGAAAAAGGTAAGATTTAAGGCATCAATTCTGTTGGCAAAAATGGCTTCCAGACTTTGGCTTATTTATGTTTCTTGGTGTTTCCAGTCATTCTGAAGATTGTGGTATCTCTGCTAAAGGATCATTAGCCATATATGTTAGTGTGGCTGCAAAAAATATATTATATACGTCATTTATGGACCATGCTTATAGGTTATGAATAATTTTGAAAGGATTAATCAAACAAAAGAGCTTAATTTTGTTCATGCTTAATTTGAAAGGTCAGTTAGAAATCAGTTATTCTCCAGTGTTGTATTAGATTAGAGGTAGGGGGGCGTGCTGGACAAGAAGTAAGGACAGTTGAGTTCTGTGTCAGATCTGCTACTAAATGGCCATATGAGTTTGGAGAAGTCCCTCTACCTCTGTGAGCCTATTGAACAACTGTAAAATGAGAGAATATTGGGATTAGTCATCTTTAGTATGGGTTTTTAGATACTTTTATATTTATATAAAGTAATTGACTTATATGACAGAGCTGGTTGGATATATACTAAGAAACAGTTTTTAAATATCTGCAGGAATTTTTGCTTTTAATCCTGACAACAACCTCATGAGATATGCATATTATCATCATCCTCATTTTTCAGATAAGAAAATTGAGACATACAAGTTTAGCAGCTTGTCCACGATCACTAGGGGATGGTGGCACCAGGTCTTGAACCCAGACAGTCTTGTTACAGAGTGCAGTTTCCTTAAGAACACTTCCAGCTGTAGTTACTTTGGTATGCTCAGAACTAAACGAGAGAGAAGCATTTTGAAATTAGTCTTCATGGTTAAAGAAAGGTTTTGTTCTTACTTGTGCTAGTAATATAAGTGACATATGCAAAGTATGCTATGTGCTTATGTATTCCTATTTCCAAACAATGCCACAGGTTGTGGTAAAATTGAAAATATTAGTGTTAAACAACATTAATGCATGTATACTTCGAGTGGTAAAATGCACAGTAAGTTGTACTGTTTACAAGGAATAATAAATAATGGCATATTACCTTTTAGGGCTTTTTTACATGTACATTTTATTAAAACATGCTTATGTTTTATTAAAATATTCATATATAAAATATTTATAAATGCTCACTTAAAATATCAATATTAATTTTCAAATTCTTTGACATTAGGAAAAATACTAAGTCACATACATGAACAGTTCAAAAAAATTACCATTTTATACTTCCACTGTAATGGCACCTCAATTCATAAAAAGGCTTTTGTCCAAATGAAAGTAAAAGGCATCTCATAATTTTTTAATCCTTAAAGCAATATCACATGACAGGTAAAGAAGAAGCTTTTTCATTTAGTTGTTAATGCCTATTCAAGATCACAAAGAGAGGGAGAAGTAAGGAAAGCCTGTTGAATCTGTCAGTTAAGAGAGACTCCAACACTTTTGGCAAATAGACTTAAAGTATTAAGATTCATTTCAACTTCTGAAAGTTTGATTTATAAGAGTTTCTTCTAATTTTAGAAGTGTCTCGTCTCCTGATGATTTTATTTTAATAGCATTTAAAAAAGTTCACGTGTAAATGTGATGGAAATTGTAATAGGAGTGCAATTGTTAGGAATATGCTTTCTTTTTCTTTGTTAGCTAATAGCATAAGATCTAACTATGCTTTCAATTAAGACTATATCTGAGCCTTTAACACAGGGACATTAATTCTATACAATGTCTCTGTGTTGTTTCTAAATCTTTCTGTGTGATGTGTGTATGTGTGTGCTTGCTTGAAAGAATAAGATTCAGGTGTGGTGAATATTTTAAAAAGGCACTTTTATAAATTGCTTTTTATAAGTAAAGTACAAATAGGAGGCACAGGTGGAATCATGTATGCAACTGTCATTTATATGTGTGTTGAATAATTACTGCTCATAGATTCAGGCCCCAATGCTGGTTGTTATATTGAATAATATTAAAAAATAGAATCTCAAGTCAAGAATCATTATATAAGGTATGATGCTTTCCTTTTCCTGTGATATTTAAGATTAAAGTCAGCTATTGAGGCCAAGAAAAATTCTCAACACCTTTCCCTAAGTTATGATTATTTAGTTTAGTAGGAATTACTCCAGAGTTTTATTAGATTGTTTTCATGTAAACAGCTGTTGTACGTGCTATTGCACAAGTGCATGAATGTTCTGTATACGCTACAGACACATGGTGGTTAGCGATTACAAAGCTTTGCATATATGTTATATCATTTGACCCTCAGAACAACTCCAGGAGGTGGATATCACAAGTTTCGTTATCTATACTTTACAAATGGGGAAGTCCAAGATCAGAATTGCTCAAAGTCACATAACTGTAAAAGGAAGACCTGTGGTTTGAACCCAGGTCTTCTATTCCATCACCTGGGGATCATGACTTAGCCACAAGTATCCTTTGTAAAAAAGAAAAAAAAATGTATGGGTATGACTAGAGAAAAAAAATATATTCAATATTATCAGATTCCTTTTATTCTCTTGACTCAGAAAATCTAATACCAAAATGATCTACCTAGTCTGTTTTCTTTTGTTTATTTTTAAGCAGAGTCTACATTTTCACACCTTCTGGTTCCCATTCTTCTCCTGATTGGCTGGATCGTGGGCTGCATCATAATGGTTTATGTTGTCTTCTCATAGAAAGGTAAGGATTTAATAATTGAATATGCCTGTTCAAAGTATAAATTACTCCAGAAATAATCTTTTCCATTTTACTAATGGAACATTTTGTCATTCAGGAAAGAAGACATCAGATTGACATCATTTAGAAGAATTAAGAAAAACATGAACATGACTGATTATTAAATGTGTCTCATGTTAAATAACTGCAATGTTTAACATCACTTTATAAAATTGGATTATAAACTAGCAACTTGGTGTGCAAAATAATTTCTCCAGGAACTCGTTTGAATTTCTGAGGCACAAAAAAGAAATATAGAAAATATAAGTAAATTTTTCTATAAACTAAGAGTAAGAAAAATGTTCCTAACTATAACAAAAAATACATAAGCCATAAGAAAAATTTTTGTAAATTTAATTACATTAGAAAAAAATTTGCCCCTTCCTAATAAACACTATAGAGAAAATGGGTTAGAGATGAGAATAGACAATTCACAAGAAACAAAATGACAATGTTAACTTGCCCTTAATCTCTCGTTCATAACAGAGAAATATAATTAAAACCACACTGAGGTAACATTGCTCACTTATCAGATGGGAAATAAAGATGTTTGACAACATATGTGTTTGAAAGACTAGGGGGAAACAAACACTCTCATACATTGCCTTTGAGAATTCAAAATGATACATTTTTGCAGGGTTGTTTGGCAGTTACTATCTATCAAAATGACATATATACTTAACTTTTGACTGAGCTATTCCTCTTCTAAGAATATGGCAATCTCCACAGGCACACTGGCAAAAATGCAAAATGGCATATACATATGACTATTCATTCCAGCATAACTTGTTACAGCAAAAACCTGAAAACAAGCCAAATGTCCATTATTAGGGGACTGATTGAAGAGACTGTGGTATGTCTACATAATGTGATACTTATGCAGCTTTTTGACATATTTCTTTTGTCAAAAAGAATAAAGGGTGTTTTTCTATACTGTATAAGGTGATCTCCAGGACAGAGTGTTAAGTGAAAAAGCCAAGTATAGAACAATGTGTGCTAGAGCTACCTTTTTTGTAAGAAAAGGAGGGGCTATTCCATTCTGTACACATATTTACTTATTAAAATATTGAAACTGAAGAGACACAAATGGAGGCTAGAATGTATATATTTCATAAATTAATAAGAAAAAAAGTAAAGCTTCCTAATATAAAACAAACCAAAACAAAGCTAATAGTATATCAGGTTGGTGGCATAACCATAGAAAGAAAAGTTACTTTCAAGTAACTTTCAAACACAGTAGATTTAACTGTCAATCTCCTATGTGATAAAAATTTGAAACACATTCAGTAGTCTTTTTGTTAGCAGAAAAGGTATTGATACTGTTGGTTTGAAATTCATATCATCACATAAAAGTCAAATAAATACCTTGTGATCTTAAATTAGAATTGCAAATATCAGTATAAACTAATTATTTGTTTCCCTTCTTGTAAAAGATGTCCATCCTAGCTCTGCCCACTGAGAAAGCCTAGCGGGGATGCGAATCCTCATGCTGTCACGGTCGTCTCTAAGTACCAGTCTCCATTCAAAGGAGGCAGAGATCCCTGGCCTCGCCCAGCACAGGAAATGTACAGTGTAATTCATAATTTTATACTGAATTAATTAGTTTAAGGACGCCTGCACTCATTGATCCATTTAACATGACAAAGCGTTACAACTGGACATTGAGGGCCTCCTGATAAGGTGCAGTAGAAAGTACACAGTGTCATCCCTACAGTATTCTTGTCAAAACAAGTCAACTTGAAGTGGAACAAGTTTCTGGATCAATCTACCAGGGTACTCTAAACAAAATCATGAGGATACATTCAGCCAAGTCTAGAATGTGGAAAATTATAAAAGACACATGACCTGATTTTTCCAACAAGTAACTAGCAACAAAAAGTGAGGTGGGGAAGGAGAAACTATTATGGAATAAAAAAAGACTTAAAAGAATAGTAAAAAAATACGATGTGTGGCTCTGTGATAAAGATATTAAGGAATTGTTATTAATTTGTTTACATATGTTATGGTTTGATTATGGTTTGTTTGTCTCCACCAAGTCTCATGTTGAAATTTAATCTTCAGTGTGGTGGTGTTGGGAGGTGGGGCCTAGTGGGAGGTGTTTGGGTTATGGGGCGGATCCCTCATGAATGGCATGGTGAGTTCTCACTCTCTCAAAACTGAATTGGTTCTGGGGTAATGGATTAGTTTGCTGTAGAGTAGGTTGTTATACAGCCAGGATTCCCCTTGGGGTTGGTCCCTCTTCACATATGCCCACTTTCCCCTTTGACCTTTTCCTCCCTGTTTTGACTCAGCACAACAGCTCTCACCAGAAGCTGAGCAGATGCTGGCGCCATGGTTCTCGTATATCCAGGAGAACCATGAGCTAAAACAAAAACCTCTTTTCTTTATAAATTACCCAACCTCAGATGTGTCTTTGTAGCAACATAAAATGGACTTAGACATTATAACAATGACAATTGGCAGTGAAAAAGAAAAGGTTCTTATGTATTAGAGATACATATCAAAATATTTGCTTGTCACATGACAGAATGTCCTTGTCTTAAAATATTGCCTTCAAATACTGCCATAGAAAACAAAATAAAAAATGAAGTAGGCAATATTAAATAAGATAGGCAAAATGTTGATATTTATTTAAGCTAAGTGATGATTTCATTAGGATTTATACTCTTTGTTCTACTTTTGTGGATATTTAAACATTTTTATAAGCAATTTGTTTTTTTTTTTCTGCTAATGACTCCATGTTGGGAACTACAACTAATGTAAATAAATAAATTAAATAAATAAAATAACATAAGATAAAACAGTGCTGGTCTTGAACCTCATTCCTAGAGATTCTGATGCAGCAGGTATGTACAGGGGCCAGGACTGCATTTTAACAAATGCCTCCAGGGATTCTTGTGCACACAGAAATTTAAGAACCATTCATTGCTTTACAGAAATCATCCATAGACTTTAGTGCATATCGGGGTCCCCTGGAAGACATGTTAAAACACCGATTTCTGGGCCTCATTCTCAGAGTTTCTGATTCAGAGGATCTGGGGTGGGAGCCTGTGAACTTAATTTTTAATACATTTTAAGGTGATACTGATGCTGTTGCCTGAGGATCCGTATTTTGAGAACCATTGCTCTAGAGGATCTGACTTTTTCCTCACAACTTTAGCACCCTCTTCCATTCAATTAATTTTTCAACAGAAATCAATGCTCTTATCAAAAATTAGAGAAAGCTTTTGCTGTGCTCATTGACTCTTTTTTTTTTATCTTTTAAACTTGGTTAAATGTTTCAAAAAGCCTTCTTAAAAATATTCTATTTAAAGCCATATTTGTAAAATTTAAACAAAAATGTATACAAAATGAGGCTCAACTATTTTCATTGATGACTTGACCTAATTTTAGTTTTCTCCAGACTTGAAACAAAAAACTGAAGTCACCTTGAATCAGAGGTCTGCTGGAGTTGACTCCTACAGCCTTGTGATAACTGATTGTTAACATTTTCAGGAATTTTGTGAGTTAGTCATTGTCTCATTGGTGCTTAAAATTGGCCACGGTGGAGTATGTACAGCACAGAAATCAATAAGTACCTCCTCCCACTGAATAGCCGGGTTCTAAGCATTTACCAGCACATTAGTACCTCGAATCCTTTTGACTTATCTGTTGCTTATATAGCTTTGTCAGGGATTTAAGATCAACTATTTTTTAAAAAAAATCTGCTTGAGGTAAGTAAAAAGATGGTCTCTCCATTCACTTGAACTCTTTTTGTGCTATAGACTTTAATGAGAAATGTGTGAAAGCTATAAACTCTCCCAGAAACCATATATTCACACAGAGTTGTAGGTAGCATTTCAGGGTGTTCATTGACCTGTAATTCATGGAAAAGACACCCTAGGTCAAGCAGCTCCACAAGTGTCTCCTACTTTCTGAAGCCTTCAGGCTTCTTCACAACTTGTCTCTAGTTTCACTTTGAGTTAAAGACATGACCTCATATTTAAGCTTTAAATTTCTAGCTACAGACTATTTTTCTTTTTTACAAGTAACTATTCATTTATTTTAATTGACAAAAATTATATATATATATATGGTATGCAACATCATGTTTTTATATATATATATATATATATATATATATAAATTGTTAGATGACTAATCATGCTAATTAAGGTATCCATGTTCTCACATACTTACTTACTTTCTTTTTTTTTGTGGTAAGAACACTGAAAGTCTACTCTTTTGCCAGATATGGTGTTGAATGTCTGTAGTCCCAGCTACCCAGGAAGCTGAGGCAGGAGGGTTGCTTCAGCTCAGGAGTCAGGGGCTGTACTGCACTATGATCACACCTGTGAATAACCATGGCACTCTAGCCTGGGCAACATAGCAAGACCCTGTCTCAAAAAAATTCTACTCTCAGCAATTGTCAAGTATGTAATACATTGTTATTAAATATAATCTCTAGGTTGTACAACAGATCTTCTGAACTTATTTCTCCTGTCTAACTGAAATTTTGTATCCTTTGATCAACATCTCCAATTCCCATCTACTCCTCCCAAGGCCCTTGTAACCACCATTCTATCCTCTGCTTCTGTGAGTTCAACTTTTTTAGATTCCACATGTAAGTCAGATGATTTGGTATTTGTCTTCTGTGCCTGGCTTATTTTGCTTAGCATAATGTCTTCCAGGTTCATCCACATTGCCACAAATGACAGGATTTCCTCCTTTTTTAAGGCCGAATAGTATTCCATTGCACATTTATACCACATTTTCTCTCTCTCTTATTTTTTTATGAAGAGCTGATGAAAGCTTTTAATACATGGAAAACCTCAGAATGTAAACCTCTGCAGTGTTATTAATAGGCATATATCATCAGCAACAGTTTTACAGACTTTGTGCCTCAATCTGGAGAAAAACAGGAGTATGACATGTTGAATTTCTTCACTGGTAATTTAAAACCCAGTTACAATTATACCACATTTTCTTTATCCATTCATCCTTTGATGGACACTTAGATTGATTCCATGTTTTGGCTATTGTGAATAATGCTACAATTAACATGAGAGTCCAGATATCTCTTCAACATACTGTTCTTATTTCCTTTGGAAATGTATCCAGTAGTGGGATGGCTGAATCATATGGTAGTTCTATTTTTACTTTTTTGAAGAACCTCTGTACTATTTTCCATAATGGCAGAGTGAATGTTTCTATTCTTTCTGCT